AACTCCCCACATCCAAGAAACGGAAATTTTCTCTTGATCTATTTTAAAAATGGCCCCTAAAAGCTGGAAGCAGATTTTACCATGTCACTTAAAGTAATTGATGATATTATTCAAACACCAGTTGCAATTGCGTTTCTAGCGGCTTGTGGGGAAACCAATTTTTTTTTTTATCCTAAAACAAATTAGCACGGCTTAAAGTACTACTAAATGTGAATTTAGACTCCAAAAATAAGGGCTCGAGCTAATTTCTTCCATGTACCAAAGGTACAATCGAATCGGTTGAAAACCCAGGAATTTTGAAAGTTATTTTTGAATTCTGTTCAATTTTATAGTCAAAGGGAGTAGTTGTAAATAGAATGCTTTTCTATGTTATTCTTCAAATTTGTTAAGTTCGAATCCGAAATTCAATCTTGTATAGAGTGTGAGTGATAAGGAAAATCAACTAAGAATTAAATTCTTCTTGGGACTCAGTGATCTAGTATCATTTCCATGTATACTTTTTGAACCGAGTTGCAATTTTCAATCACCATGGAGTAACCTGCTCGCAGCATCTCTAAAATTGGAAGGTTTCACCATCCGGCGTGATCTTTGATATCTTATCTGTTTTTGTTACTCCTGACCAATGCCTGTATTCTCTTGACATTCATTTTTTTCTCTTTCTTTTAGTACGCACCTTAATTTTTGGCCTTTCACCATTTCAGGTATCTAGGATGACAATGAGATTTTGCACTTTTTTTCTTTGTTGTCTTTGAAAAATGTTATTGCTGCAAAAATCAGAGCCACTCTCAAGAGGATGATTTAAGTGGGTATCATCGGTCCTGACCCAAGTCCATCTTTCTTCTAGATACTCATCTACGATATAATATACTTTATCTCAAAAAAAAAATTTTTGACGGCTACTTAAAATGTTTGTGGATTAACAATTTCTGTAACATTTTCTGGTAATGCATTATATAGCTTTACAAAGTTGCTTTTGATGACTTTGCATCTACTTTATCCTCTATTTTTATGTTATTTATGTTTCTATTTTTATATCCAGGATTATTCCTGTTAAAAACAAAAGGAGACCTATTTCTATTAATGCAGAGAAAAGATTCCTGTATGTACAGGGTTATGACTGTGAATATTCTATGCTCTTTGAAAATAGCTCTACATCAGGGTGTCTGCAGGTCTGGAAAACCGGGAAAAATCAGGGAATTTGATCACTGTCTGGAAAACCGGAAAAAGTCAGGGAATTAGATCAAAAACCGGTAAAAGTCAGGGAATTTTCGCAATTCGAACATTTCGCGGCTATTTTTGCTCGTCACTGCCGAATTGGCCGAGTAGCGCGCTCGCGTGGCTGATAATGTAAACTGCTGTGTTCAACCAGTTTGCAACACGGCCGTTAGGTTCGCTAATGTGTGTTTTGACACATTTTTGTTCCTGGACTTAATTTCCTCAATAAAATTTTATTTTATTTTTCATTTTTGATCTTTTCAGTGATCTTACATCCATTCTTCCGAATCAACTTTAAAGATCGAATCGATCTTCCCTATTTAATTTATCTACTTAATTCATGCCAAATGGCAAGATAGACTAAATAGACTTGAATGAAGTTAATTTGCTAACAGCAGAAAATTACAGTAAATAATATTTGCTAACAGCAGAAGACCAAGGTTTTCTAAGGTGAGTGCCCCAGTTTTGAGCAGATGGTTAATCAATTTTTTCAATAATTTAGAAAATGTAATGAAAGTGCTGGAATTTTAGTTTTTCTTTAACTGAGCAAAGGAATATTTAATGTCAACTGCATTTTGCATGAAATTTTTCTGGTTCTTAAATCAGCATGTTCACAACTGGTGCATCCACCTCACAGAAATATTATTGGTGGATTATATTCTAACAAGCCAACGCTTGTTGAGTATAAGACAAATTCAATACCAACAATAGGTTGATATAAGGAATGGAATCTATTGAATTAATTGACCTTTTTTTTTTAAAAAAAAAAAAAAAAAAAAAAAAAACCCGAATCAAGCAAATTTACCTAAAATCGAGAAGGGACTCTTATATCCTCTTGATTATAGCAAAATCTGCCTGAGTTAGGCACATTTACAACTCTTGTTTTATATTTTAAGAAAAAGAGACTTGTATTTTCAGGGCACTAAGTAATATCCAATATTTATGAAACCACTAGGTTTTCAGAAGTATACGGGGCGATATGTCACAAAGAGGAGCGAAGTAGAGCTTAAAAATTAAATTTTGAAGGTGAATTTTCCTCTGAGTATACCATTTTGGAATTAGCTTTATTTTGAGTATTTCGGATCTCATTCCTTTCAAAAGTATTACTCAACTCCTTCCAACGCCATGGTAATTCAGAATATGACTTTACGGGGTCATTCCTAAGGATAGTTTTTTTTTTAATATTTTCTAACTAGCTCATCGTATGGTGAAACCCAAAAAGTCAGGGAATTTTGTCATTTTTTGTCATGAAAAACCTGGAATTGTCAGGGAATTTCATTTTGAAAATCTTGTAGACACCCTGTACATGAGCTACTATGATCTACCCCATACAAATTTTCCAGAATTTCCTTTCGTAGAATTAGGACCTCTTGCACACTTGATGCGCCACCCCAAAAGATGATCGCATATTTTAACGTAGAATTTACAAATGCACAATATATGTTGAGAAGGTCCTTTTTTGACAAAATATTTTTGAGTTTTTTGATGGCATGGCCATTGGATCCTACTATTTTTACAACACTCTTTATGTGTTCTTGCCAGGATAAATTTTTCTGTGGAAGCAAACCTAATAGCTTTGTTGATTTAACTCTCGCCAAATGATTCTGTCCACAAGTTATTTCCCGGAATTCTGCCCTCTTATTGAACAACATGCAAACTGACTTGATGAAATTAAAATTTAATTCATGGCTTTAAAAACTCCACCTAGACTCTTTAGATCACTCTCAGCTTGTGAGAGCAGCCGGAGTATGCCGGCGGTGTTTGAACATTACTGTTTTACCATCCACAAAATCAGTTGCCATTCCGTACTCAAGAATTTTACTACCCTGCGGTACGCCTATATCGATGATAATAATCTCAGTTCGCACTACTCCCTCTTACTCTCTCTTACTTTTTGGAAGAGAAACAAACCAACTTTATAGCTTGAGATTTTCTTCATTTATTGTTCGTTAAGGAAATGGTGGAAGAGAAATTTTACTCGTTCGATATATTCTCTCTAGCATTACACAAAATATGAAACAATCAAATAAATAACTAATTTGCTCAAAACTCACTTTGAATTTCTCAAAGATTTCATCCTCAAAAACTCACTTAATCACTGTAAACTATAATTTTTTAGATTTTTTATTGTTTCATTTATTTTTCATTTCTATCAGGGTACTTGTTTAGTGCAAATTGTCGTTATTACCTCCTGATTCACCATGATGTTTCTTTTTCTTGCTTATCTATTGCTAGTGGCCATTTTGGAAGCAACAGATAAACAACAAAACAAAAAAATTTGGTGAATCAGGAGGTAATAATGGCCATTTTGCTCTAATCCTTCGTTGATTGAAGCTGGATTTATTTTTTTGAAGTGAAACAAACCAACTTTATAGCTTGAAATTTTTCTGAATATTTTGCCAACATAGTAGAAAAATCATGTCAGTTTTCAAGAAATTTCGTTGAATAGTTTTCCAAAGAAAAAATTATGTTTGACAGAGTCACAAACAACGCTCTGCAACGTTACAAACGGAGGTACGTGGTTTCGCACTTTGGCCATGGATATGGTAGAGCGGAAGGGGGTAGAGCCGCTCCTTGAACGGCCGACCCGTCATTTCAAATTCCGCGCGCTTTCGATGTTGGGCACACTCGCCAATCTGATCCCACATCAAAAGCCCGCGGAATTTGAAATGACGGATCGGCCGTTCAAGGAGCGGCTCTATCCCCCCCCCCCTCTTCTGCTTCTTCGTATGTATACATCGCAGAAGCACTGTTCAAATCTGGTGAACTTTACCCATTTGTTTGCTATTATCTAACTAATTTTGATGACCTTTAAAGTGTTTTTTTCTTCTTTTATTCGAATCATTACTGTGCCCGTTGCTCAGATATAGGGTGTCTTGAGATGAAAGAAAAATTGGAAAGATTTGAAACTTCACTGAAATTTCACAACGCTGTGATATATTTCATATTTTCCAGGGACAATAGTATACAAGCCGCAAGACTTAACCTCGTTTTTGAAAAAGAAAGCCCCATTGTTATTAAGGCTCGTTTGCCTTACCTATATAATTTCATTCTTATCTAATGCACATTAGCTCCTTTATTTTTCATTATTCTTAAATCTATGTCTCACTTAGGTGATAGGTACTTTCTATCCAGGGTAGCAGTACGTGTTTGCCAGAGGTAGTCCATACCCCAAGGAGAAAAAAATATCAACCTAAGACTTTTCTGTGCAACTTATTATCACTATTTTTATTGAAACATGAAGACTCAGGTCATTTTTTATTAGGAATCATTGATATTGTTTCTAAGGATAGTTTTGCCTATAAAATATTTCCATTCCACACAATTTCTAAAAATCTTTACATTTTTTTTCATGAATTGCTAATTGATACTAAGATTTTTGGAATTCACATGTGCATCCCTATTTAAATCACATCAGCTTACAAGTCACTGCTCTTTACCAATTTATATGTTTATTTAATACACACTTGTTCAGCTTTTTAGCTGGTTTCTTTTTATCTTTTACAGAATATTTTGTGAAAATTTGTACCAGTGAAGTTCATCTGTTTTGAATCAATGTCTGCTAGAAAGGCGAAAATAGAGAATTTTAAATGTCTCAAACAAAGAAATCAAATTTCGTACATTCAGTGAAATTGAATGGCAATGGAAAATTTTATGTGCTGATATACCAGGTTTTGAAACAATGGAATGACGCTGTTCTATCGTTCAATCGATGTCAGTACAGAAGCTATTACCTCAAAAATCCCGAAATCTCATTTATGAAAAATTTGAATGTACGCCTGGCCAGAGACCGTTTCAGATTACTTTTCCACTTTTGCTGTATGCGCAGGATAGGGAATTACATACAATAAAAGTGGAAAAGTAATCCAAAACAGGATCTGGCAGGCACTGATTCATATAATGAAAGTTTAATCTCTCAATTCTTCCATTCGCTAGGATACATTTCTGAGCTGTAGCTTAAATGTTCAGAGTCTCTTACATTAATCAAGTCGGTGCTTGAAAGAATAGTTTTTTCTGAGCGATGCCAAAGAAAAAAAGAAAGAAAAGAAAAAACAACTAAGGATCTTAGTTAAGTTTTTGGAGGAAGTATCTTTGTAAAAATTGAATCCCAACTATGCTGACTCAATAAATTTAATAAAAGAAAAAAACAAAAATATCACTTTACAAACAACATATAAAAATATAACTAAACTTTAAAAATAAAATAAAAAAGTCTCTCTCTAAAATAAAATAAAAAAAATCAACAGCAGCCCAGCAGCCACCATCTGCTTTTCCACCATCTGCTTTTCCACCATCTGCTTTTCTTCTTCTTCTCTGTCAACAGAAGAAGAAAAAATAATATGTAAAAAACACAAAGAAAATAAAAAGATAAAATAAAATATAAGACGTTAGTGCTTGGCCTGTAAATTGGAAATTTTTGGATACGACAGGGTGTCTACAGGTCTGGAAAACCGGCAAAGTTAGGGAATTTCATCAGGTCAGGGAAAATCAGGAAAAGGCAGGGAATTTTATAAAGAAGACTGGAAATTTTTGCAATACACGGCGTTCACACGGCCTGCCGCAGGGCTCCGTTGCGAGGATCTATTAGATTCGAGAATAAATTTCAATTGGGAATTGGAATTTTAGATGATTGAAATGATTAATACTGGAGGGGAAAAGGTTCAAATGTTTTTTTCAGTTACAGTGAAATTAATTTAAAAAATTGTTCATTTTCAATTCTACGCGTCGAACTGTTGATGTAAAAAGTCAGGGAATTCTGATCATTTTGGTCAGGGAAAACGTGGAAAAGTCAGGAAATTTTTTTCCCCAAGTCTGTATACACCCAGACACCCTGTGCAATAATAAATGTGGTTGTCTCATGCAAACTGTTGAGATCTTCGAGTGTCTCTATGCACCGTCTCTGCTTGTCTCTTCTGGATTTTACAGTTGCACTGGAAACTAAAAAACATCAGAGCTTCAAACACTCTTTTTTCATGTTTATTGGTTGGATTCTACAATACAATGATGTCACTACACTGAAACTAGTAGGGTCTACCTATAGCTGAAAATTAGGAGGTTTGGAAAAACCACAAGGCTGATGGTAAAAATCTCACCTATGGATGGTGGTGCTGCTGGTGCCAGTTCAATCGCCTGGCTTAGAGTTTGCATCTGAAACAAGACCGATGATTGTATCATTGTAAAATGGTTAAATCAAGGTATCACATCCGCAATTTTATAGAATAGCTAAGCTTAGTTTATGAATTGAAGCTGAATTGAATATCAGTTTAATTGAGGCTCAAAAATGTATGCAATGAGACCGTTGGTTCTTATATAAAACTTAAAAAAAATAAGAAGTGACTTCTTCTAACCAAAAACTATCCTTGAAGCAAAAGGGTAAATCCTTGAATTAATAAAGGTACTAAAGAAGGCTGACTGCCACTTGATATTGTGGAACATTACATTCTTGAAGAGGCATTGAAAAATTCACCAAAAACTTGAGAGTTAGGTATGATTTTTTTTCCCTCATAGTAGTAGGACATGTATCATTGTAAATCATGATAAGCTTTTCTTCCAGTTTTAGAAACAGTAGGTATATTCTGAATGGGAGGTTAATCCTGACTAATTAGCATAATACACGAATGAAGTAAAATTGCAAAAATTGACCTTTTCGCATTCTGGCTCGGTCACAGTGAACTTACAGGGATCTATTGATCCTGCTGCACTAATTATTACAATAAGTAAAATTCAATGCTACAAATGGGCTATTCGAAATCTTGTTAAATCTGTATCTTTTGAGAGTGCCCTTTTATTCTACCATGCACATTTTTTGTCCCATGTTCGCTATGGCATCATCCTCTGGGGCAGAAGTAGTAGTGCAGAGTCTGTATTCATTGAATAAAAGAAAGTGATTCGTATTATGTTTAATCAACCTTTCAACCATCCCTGTAAGCAGCTTTTTAAAGATCACGGACTTTTCACTTTACCATCTATCTTTATTTTTGAAAGTATCAAATATGCCATTAACAATGCTCTAATTACACCAACTGTTCCGATTCCAAAGCATAATCATAACTCTATGCATAACAGTATTAAAAACATCAAAACGTCTCTGAAAGTCTCTGAATCCAACATAAAATTCTCATCGATTCAGTTTTTTAACGCACTACCCTTAAACTTAAGGCTTTTGTTCAAAAATCCAGACTCTGCATCTTTTTTTACAGAGTCTTAAGCAGCTCCTCTTTCATGAGGCATTTTATTCTGTTGATGAATTCCTAATGTAATGAATTCTTAATGTAAGTATGTAAATATGACCGTGTATCATAGCTATCCATTGGCTAATCCATACTAAATAAAGATGATTATTATTATGTTCTCGTTTCTCAATTCACAGCTTGAGGCCGGTAGATATTTAGTCCTCCCCCGGCAATTCAATGCAACGGAGAGCCCTTCTGGAGTTTTTAAAAGGATGAAAATTGCTGCAGATTAATTAAAAAAGAAAATTATTAATTTATTTATTATTATTATTAATTTATTAATTTTTTTTTTTTTTTTTTTTTTTTTTTTTTTTTTTTTTTTTTTTTTTTTTTTTTTTTACTATTATTATTTTTCATGTTCACTGCTGTCATCAGCTTTGCTGGGTTGTTTTAAGCCCTCACACAGGGGCAAACAATGCTCCTAGGTATGAGGGCTGTTTGTGGTTTGGGTGGCCGGGTGGTGATTATTTCACTCCCCCTTGGGGAATGGCTCGTCACGGACTAGGATACCTGTTTTAGGAACCGAGGCAGGGTAGGTGTCTGGAAGACGCCTGCCTAAAGGTTTCTTTCCTGAGGTGGTAGGGGGTAGGGGTGTTAATTTGGTGTGTGGGAACGTTCTAGGTGTATTCGCGCTGCTCCACCTAGCTTAAGACCTTCCGGAGGATTCTGGCAGTGCCTAACACAGCAGACTTCTGGGCCAATACTAGCGAATGTTTCCCAGGGATTTCGTTCTTCAGTTTAGTCCAGTCTTTGGAGACTGCTCCGGTAGCTCCTATCACAAAGGGTATAACTCGGGTTTTGGTCTTCCACATCCTGCTGATTTCGATCTCTAGGTCTTTATACTTTAGTTTCTTCTCAGCTATTATTATTCATTAATTATTTATTATTATTCATTAATTATTTATTATTATTATTATTATTTTTCATGTTCACTGCTGTCACCAGCTTTGCTGGGATGTTTTTATTATTATTGTTGTCCTTATATCACGTCTCAAGGACGGCAAATTTTTCCTAGGGGCTGAAGTACCAGAAGTGTACCTCAATTCTCAGGTACTTCAGTCCATGACTTTTCTGACAATATGAGCTGTCTTCAGGATGACTGTCTTTTGGAGAGCGCTGAGGTTGTGTCTGCCCGGCATCTCTGAGATTGCCTTAGCTGCACTTTTAGAAATGGTGCCTGTTGCTCCAATTATTACCGGAACAACTCGTGTTTTCATCCCCCACATTCTTTGCGTTTCGATTGTCAGGTTCTTATATTTGGTTCGCTTTTGGGCTTCTTTCTGGACGATGTTGTAGTCTGAGGGGATAGCAACGTCGATAATGATGCAGGTCTTCTCCTTTTTGTTTTTGATTATAATAGGGAGAAGACCTGCATTATTATTATTATTTTTTTTTTTTTTTTTTNTTTTTTTTTGTAACTCAGAAGAGGGAACACTTCTGGCACAAGTATTACTGACGGGCCACAGGCCAAAGTCAGTAACACATACTATCTTGCTTGAAAAAAAGGGTAAACGTTATTTTAAAGTAAAGTTAAAAAAAAAAAAAATTAAAAAAAAATTAAATTTTAAGCGAAATCAAAAAAAAATTATTCGATATTAAGAAACGACCTGACAATACTTGACGTGCTTATAACGACGGACTTCTGCATTGAATGAAGCAGGTAACTGTTTATTCCGAGGTCTCGAAGATGTTGAACTAAACTTTTTGGAACTATCCCCGTTACTGACATTATCAGGGG